TCTATTTTGGTAGATACAGACAATGGGGAAGTAGGTTGCAGGCCCTACCGCTGAAGTTGAATCACAATCCAAACATCTATTGCTTTCTGATTCTAATGTTCTTTTCTTCATGATGTAATCATAAACCTTGATTTAGTTGTTATTCCTTTTTATTTTTCCTTTTTTTGACTCTTTCATTCCATGTGTGTAGACACCCTACTCTAAAAATAAATAAAATGACAAAATAAATTTCAAATAAAAAGATAAAACAAGTGATAAGATTTGGTGGATTAAATCTAAAATTCAATTGCTATCCAAATTGAAAGGGATAGGATGCTCAATTTTTAAACGGAGATCCTATCTTCATCATCATTATTTAATCCGTTGTGTAGACCACCAAAGGGGGAAGCAAAAATAGATTACACCAAATATCAGAGACGGGATCATAGAAAGATCACAATCTTCACCCATCTTTGCCTTCTCTGCCATTGCCATCACCCCATAGCTCTATTACTAAACTCCGTTGCAATCAATCCAGCCCCACCACCAATTCAGCTAGGCTCCACCAACTATCCTGCAAACAATTTCACAATCACAAACACATCCAATCAACTTTTCCACCACTGATTCCCTACTGTTGTCCATACCACTAGCAACCACCCAAAAGCTCAACACCAATTCCATTGCAAAAACCTCTGCGCCCAATCGAAACCAATATTTCCATAAACCTACCTTCCTCAACACCATACGCAGTACTCAAGAAACCATAAACTTGCAGATAGAATCAGTAACCATCCACAATTCACCATTAGCACATAAACACCAACAGCGGTCCAGAACCCTTCTCATACCACCTTAAAGCCTCCAGAAACCAGTCAGCCATTACCTACGCCGAAGCCACAAACCTACCCCCCTTATTACCTCTATCACTGCCAACAATCAGTAATCAGTTCCAAGTTCACCAGTCGCAGACACAGTTACCTGAGCCTCTAGTACCACCTTAGCCTAACTCCTTGCAAACCCAAAAAGAACCACAATCACATAAAAACGAGACAACCAGTGAGCCAGAATAATCACCTAAGCCCACACCATTGAACCATTGCCCGTACCGCAGGCGAGGCTCATCCAGTCGCACCCAAAACTTGTCATCACCCTCATCAAATCTCCAACAAACGCTTATCCATTCTCAATAATCCCTGCCAATGCCAAGCTAAAGAAAGTAAGGTCAGAAACCAAAAAGAAAACTAGAAACAAAGAAACCTTCTCTGGGTTTCGGGTAGGTACTCTCACAGGGGGTTTTTGGGGCTTCCAAATCGGCAGCAAGATAGCCCAGGAAAAAGGGAAGAACATATTGCCAAACAGTGGCCAAAGGAGCAACGGCAAGAGAGATTCCAGAGGTTGAATCCACGATCTTCAAAAACTCAATCCATGGAATTGGAGACATTTTCGCGATAAACTAACTGCGTCACGTGAAAAATGAGGCTGAAATAAGTTTCTGAATGAAATTTGGGCTTGAACGATCATCGGCAACAGTGGCCGACGGCGACCAGCGACGCCTACGTTTCATCGAAATTTGGAAACGTGTGGAGTTCTGACCAATTTTTGTTCTTCCCTAGAGAGAGAAAGAGAGACAGCGAAAGTTGTAGAGAGAGAGAGAGAACCTGTCAAGTGAAGAGGAAAGCTTAAAAAAGGCTTTTATAGGATTAATAAAACGATGTCGTTTTGGCTAAAGAAATTAGGTTCCTTTGACCCGTTTCAAGGATACGCGCATTAACCATTGGGTGACCTGATCCCATCGTTCAACCCAACTATTCCAGTCCAACTCTAAGCCGCTTTAGCAGCCAGCCGAGCCACTCAATTTCTGAGCTATTCCTGAGTGTGGAGCTAAGCTGTTTTTTTTAGCTAAGCTGCAAACTTTGGTAATTTTTCTTGCTTTGCTATTTATGATTTATTTTCTTTTTCTTGAATAATCTCCATTCTGAAAATATTAATAAAGAATAAAAAAATTCAAAATTTTTAAAAAAGGGTTAAAGAATCAATTTTTTTGTAAATAAAAATTTTCAAAAGCAACAGAAAAAATATTTTTTAAAAAAATTAAGAGTATCAATTTTTCTTAAAAATAAAATTTTCAAAAAAAAATTATTTTTTTGAGAAAAAGTTGAAAGTATCAATTTTTCTTGAATAAAAGCATTAATCCTTTTAAAAAAATAAAGTAAGAAAAAAACTCAAGAAAAAGTTGAAGTATTATTTTTTTTTTTGAAATTTTTTATATTAAATAATAAGAAAAATAGTAATTTTCTTATATACTCTTGAAGTAAGGAATTTTTCTTAATTTTCTATCAAAAGTATTAGAATCAATTAAGAATAATAAAAAATAACATTTTTTTCGTTTCCTTAATGTATGTGATTTATTTTTAAAAATGTTTTTATTTCTTGATTTTTATGTAATTTTTTGTTTATATATATATATATATATATATATGTCTATTACTCTTATTCTAAACTTTATTCTATTTAAGGTGATCAAGTTTGGTATTTTTCAGGTTTTAGATCCCGATATTAAGGTGTAGCATTTTTAGGGTTTCGAGTTTGAGGTCACCAAGTTTGATGTTTTTAAGTTTTAAGTTTAGGATTTAAGGTTTTTAAGATGTTGTGTCCCTATTCTTATGATGTAAATTTGTTGGGATGTCTAGTTTGAGGTCATTGATTTTGGTGTTTGTAGGGTTTTGGGTCCCATTCTTAGAGTTTATAATTTTTAGCTTTTCGAGTTTTTGTTAACCGGGTTTAATGGTTTTAGGGTTTTAGGTCACCATTCTTAAGGTATAATCTTTTTACAGTTTCAAGTTTTGTTTCATCAAGTTTAGCGTTTTTAAGTTTTCGAATCCTCACTCTTAAGGTGTTACATTTTTAAGGTTTTAGGTTTATGGTCACTAGGTTTTTTATTTTTAGGGTTTCAGGTTCCTGATCTTATAATGTAATGTCTTTAAGGTTTTGGATTTGGGATCATTGAGTCTAGTGTTTTTTGACTTTTTATCCTAACTCTTAAATTGTAACATTTTTAAGGTTTTAGGTTTGGGTAATCAGTTTTGGTGTTTTTAGGGTTTAAAGTTTTAGTGTTTAGTGTTTAATGTTTAGGGTTTGTGCTTTAAGATCCTTGAATTTAGTGTTTTCAGGTTTTTGATCCCTATTCTTAAGGTGTAATGTTTTTAAGAATTTGAGTTTGGAGTCGTCAGGTTTGGTATTTTTAGGGTTTTGCATCCTTATTCTTAAGGTGTATTGTTTTTATAGTTTCAAGTTTAGGGTCATTGGTTTCTTGTTTTTAGGGTTATGAGTCCACATTTTTATGGTGTAGCATTTGTACGGTTTCATGTTTGGGTCACTAGTTTGGTATATTTAAGGTTTTGGATCTCTATCTTAAGGTGTTATATTTTTTAGATTTTAGGTTTGTCGTCACTAGATTTGATGTTTTTTAGAGTTTTAGGTCACATTCTTAAGATTTTAGGTTTTTAGTCCAAGTTCTTAACATGTAATGTTTGTAAGGTTTCAAGTTTAAGGTCATAAAATATATTGTTTTTAAGATTTATTGTCCTTATTCTTAAGGTGTAGCAATTTTAGAGTTTGGGTTTGAGGTCATCATGTTTGATGTTTTTAAGATTTCGGGTCCATGTTGTTAGGTTGTAACTTTCAAGTGCCTAATGTACAACATGTGTTTGGTTCTTTTTTTTTTTTCTTTTGATAACAAAACAATCTAAGTCCAATAAATTTCTATTATCTTTCAATTAAATATGGACCATTTTTATAAAAAATATATATTAAATCAAAGTCGATTACTTATAAAAATCGAAGACGTATCCAAAATAGATTTATGATATCTATTCCAAACCATTATATATATAAATATATAATTTATTATTTATTTAATTTTATATTTATATATAACCATCGATTTTTTTGTTGAAAGGTTAATATTAAGTAAATCTGACACACAAAAATTTTTTATAAAAAATTTATAAAACATATTTTGTGAGAATAAGATGCTAATTAATGTATCCACGTCACTCCGATTTGGTTTTTTTTTTTTATACCTTTTGCATTTTTTGCTTCTTTTAAATTAAATAAATATTTCAACAAAAAAAAAGCCATAAATAAAATGGTAAAACAAAATAATTTTAATTTGCGACATATGCGAGCATGTATATTTAATTTTTGATACTTAATTCTCAACCACATAAGAAAGCAAATGTTAGAAATATTTTCTAAAATAAAAAAAAATATGGTCAAGTAAAAACTTAATCAAAGACAAATTCATACTAAACTATAGATAGCTTAAGGTAAGGTTTCAATATCAATAACATGATTCTAGACTCAAAAATTCTAATTAAAAAGATTGTTCATGTAGGTAATCCACTGCTATGCACACAAGAGTCGACTTCCTTAGACTTTCATGAGAACTAGTCGACTGTCAATAGCATGAAGCCGACCACTTTGACATACAAAAGCTAAATATAATCTCTATATAATTAGTAGTCGATTGCTAGCATAGAAATCGAATGTTATAGCTGAAAATCAAACCAGTCGATTCCTAATTCTAGGCATCTTATAAAATTTGAGTTAAATCATGGCAATCAACTGCTATCAAAGAGTATACTACTTTGATGGAGGACCCATTTTGAAAATTGACAGATATCGACTGCTCAAGTCATGAATGCATTCTGTAAGTTGATATGAATCAACTACTCTAAGGAGGAGTCAACTGCCCTGCTTCATATAGCATTCTAGAAATCAAAAATACAAATACAGGAAGATTACTAGTTCAAATTGTTTTGTACTCTTAAGCCTTATATTTTACTAACAGCAAATGCATTACTATGTGGTGCAGGACTTTCACGGAATTAGTGCTTCCAGGATTATGGTCCAGCATAAGACTGAGTAAAGCGTCACAACCAAATACGTCTTTCCGTAGTAGGCTTACTAAAAACCCTCACGGCTATAGCTAAACTGGAAGGAAGTAGGCCTGAAATAAAAATACGAAACTTCGTTTGTTCCCCAAGAGAAAACAAAATAGTTAATCCGGACAGATGATGCAAACAATAGAAGAGATATTCTAGTCATATCCCACCTCCCAAACAGCCAAACACCTCATAAGGGGAAAAAAAAAATACTATCAGAATCAAGAATGGGGTGGTGACTCGTGAAACATCAGTTGGTGCGTTTCTCATGGACCTGAGGCTTATCGGCTCCAATTGATGCTGTAAAGTTGCGTCGCTCATCAGCATTGGCAGTAATAAATGGCATCCATACCTCAGCGGTGCCACTCAAGAGCGATTGCACCTGGGGGTCTGCAGCCATGGCTGAGGATATCATCTCATCCACACCATCCAACTTAGCCGATAATTTGTCCAACTCTCTCTCAATTTCCAACTGACAGAAAAATACATTGAAAAGAGCAAAGTGAGCAGCCAGCATGCGTTTTTTATTTTTTGCAGAAAACCAAGTCTGGAAGATGATAGAGAGTAGTTTCTGTTTCAGCATTTGAGATATAACAAAACAGAAAACAATACCTCATCAAGGCCGTGTGTAGACTTGGAAGGAACTTTTGTAACCTCCAAAAGAAGGGCTTCAATTTTCGAACGCAATTCAACTTCTTCCTGATTAGTCAATGCTTCTACCTAAATATATATGGACCATAAAGAATGGTGTGAAACAGGGAATACAGTAGCAGTTTTAGAACAGCTATTGGCTTTTCCATTACATTTTATATCCCCATCATTTTCAAAATATGGGTGATATCCCGTTAATCCGTGTACCAATGGAATGAGATATAGCATAAGAATACCGATTGCAATTTGGAACCTTAATAAAACAAGAATTCAGTGTCTTCATTTTTTTAACAAAAAAAAAGTAAACCTAGAATTTAGTACAGGAAAACAAATGCAAACACGTACCCATATAATAAAATTTCATCAAATCGACAAAGGAACCATTTTTAGTAATACCCAGATGGTGAATCAAGTGAATTTGGATTCACCAAGACCCAAACCTAGGAATGGAAAGGGAAATAAACAAAAAAAAAAAAAAAACTGAAGGAATATCCATCTAAATTACCTGATGAAGCAAATTGGAAAGCAGTTGGAACAACTGTGAATCTGCTCTTTTCCCTTCTTCCGCCGCCATTTCTGATTTGATTTCTTGTATCTAAATCTCTGATCTCTCTTCACTTTCAATTGCGTGCTTAACCAATTTAATGATTCTATCACTTACACCTGCCCTGTATACAATATACTCCCCACAAAAAGAAAAAAACACCTGTCAGATGACTTTATATGTTGGTCAAAAGTTTTTTTGAAACGTTATTTTGGGGCTCAAACCAAAAAAAAAAAAAAAAAGTTTGAACTTGGATAATTTTTATTTTTTATCTTATCATTAATAATAATATGAAAACTATATTTTTAAAAGGTTTGAATGAAATAGTTTATATATTTGTGATTCTTTTAATTAATTAAAATATTTATAATAATAAAAGTCAAAGTTAACAAATTTTGATCAAAATAAAATTAGTATGGGATCTTTTAAATGGGAGAAAGAGTACATGGGCTTGGATTTTAATAAATATATGAACAAGGCTTTTTCTAAATTAATATCAAATGTGTGTGTACATATATATATATATATATATATATACTTATATCAACTAGCCCTTGAATGTTAGAGTAAGACTTAAAGCCTAACAGTTGTTTCCAATTGATATCGCAGTTAATTATGATATTAGCTGTGTCTTCATAAACATTTATTAGAATATGATTATTTAAGATGGTACGCTCTATTTTGTAACTCGGGAGAAAGTCAAACTATGAACCCTCTGCCCCTTTATAGTTGGGATTCTGTCTCTTTATAGCTGGGATTCAAACCAAGTGACTATGTGAGACTGGCAACAACTGGCTTGTAACTCATATCAGATCTAGTTGAGACTTGGGGCTGCGTGACATCCACCATCAATCGCCAGGGAATGGGCATTTGCACACAGCACAAATCTCCATAGCTTTAAGGAGTCCTGATCTGATCTCTTCACATTCAATATATATTATGAAAGTAATCTCTTCTGGAAGGAAAAGGAAAATTGTCTTCTCTTAGCGAACAGCGGGAGAGTTGCCACTTTCGTCAAAGCCAAAGGTACCGAAAAAAGAAATCAAAATTATATATGAACACGCGTTAATTGCTAACTGAATGATGTTACATGAAGCATCACCTTCTCATAGCGATTTTTCCCCTTCTTTAAAAATTAGTGGACAACTACAATAAAAAATTCCCATCTTAGAGTAATACCCATCCAAAGCCACAAACCTAGAGCTATCCCAGTTGAGGTAAATATAAAACATAGTTAGGAAGTGCATTATACAAGGAACTACCCTCCCAGCAGGAAAGTCGGGTGTTCTTCAACGTCTCAAGAGTCTCTGCTGCCAATCTTATTGTCACCTCAAGCATGCATTCATTCATTCATTCATCTCAGACCATTCTATCAGATAACCTATTTGGCTTCCTACAAAAACTGGTTCTTGTATCATGTTCGATTCATTGCTTGCCCGAATTGGCGGCCACCCTCATCTGTTTCATGTAAAGAGACAAACACTAGTATTCAGGAAAACAGCTACAATAAAACCAACTTTTTCTTGATGTCAATTAATATAAGCATTTTCACAGGGAAAAAAGATCAGTGCCCAATCAAAATATAGCCATCTTTTCAAGGCATACTCGGTTCAAATAACAAAGAAAACAAGCTTGCCCTAGCAGTCGTTAGCCCTTCATAAAGTTTCAAGATCTAAGACAATTTTGCTGATGGTGCACCAGTTTTATATTGAATATCAAAGAAACAGTTTATGCAATTTTCTACAGCATTATCAGCTTTTGATTCATAGTGTTGGTAATCTTCTACTTCCATTCTAGGGAAGATGGAGTTCGTCACTATGGAAACAAGACGGATAATGTAAAATATAAGCCTTTTTTTTTTGGCCACCAAATATAAGCAATGTTGAAGCAGGCCCTTCATAAAATGTCATCATTCCAAAATTAAGACCATGGAAATACAATAAAATCTAAATAATAAGGTAAAAGAAGAAGAATTTACCACTTTCACCATCAGATATACCTGCCAGCTTAGCAATTGCATCAATAAGCGATTGCTCATGCTCCTGTATTGAAAATTAACAATTACTTATGCGGTTTGTTATTAAAAATGTTTGAGGATGCTCACAAGGCTGCTGTCTTACCTTTAGCAATTTCTTTGCTTTCTCAATTTCAAGAGGGTCAGGATGGTTTCCACCAAATACCCTCTCCACCTGCCCCAAATCGAAACAAAAAAATGTAAATGTTTGTACAACCAGACTCCCTGCTATGGATATACCTATTTGCACAGAAAATGTCACACGGTGACAACCTATTTTCATTTACCTCTTTGACTAGGGTATCTGTGTGAAGAATTTGTATATCATCCAGTTCTTTCTTTCCAATGCCATTCTGAGATGGTAAAAAATCTTTTCTAGATTGACCTTTAGCGACACCTCTACCTCTTCCTGCAACTGGCACACCATCACGACCTACGGATCTGTTCATCCCATGACCTGATCCACCATAGACATCGCGAAGAGGAATTCCAGGGTCCTTACTTACCCATTGTATATCCTCAGGCAAAATCTACCAAAATAAACACAAATCAATATATATATATATATGAGGAAGGCCAAGTGACTATCTTATTAAACATGAAGAAAATGGTTGATTTAATTGAAGAAACAAAACAAAATTTTATAGTATGAACATATGCAAGTAAAAGAAGAATTTAAAGTTTATAATATTTTTCTTCTATTACAATATACTGCTGCTATACTAAATAAATGACAGAACAGCTGCTTCGCCAATGCAAAACAAAAGAATCAAGCCATGCATGTCTACAATTAGGTTTGGAAGAAATTGAATTTCTGCAACCAGTTACAAGTTTGGGATTTGTAGGAAAACCAGTGTACCATTGAACTGCCAAATTATCAAATTACACAAACTATGGAAATGCAATCCTCACATCCAGATCTAGAGATATGCTAAACAAATTGTAACATTTTTAGTGTCTGCAATACATCGGAGAAGCTTGCAGTAACAAATAGATGAAACTTTTTAGTTAATTTATGAATAGCCATAGATTAGAACAAGGATCAAGCTTACTTAAGTACATAGAAAGTTGTTCATACAAGTCTGCATACCCAGATCTGAAGATTTTAAAAATCCTTTTAACTTCAATTTTCTAAAAAAAAGCATTTTGGATCATGAAGAGCAAGCAGCGGATATACCTCAGAAAGATTGACCCATTCCCATGTTTCATTTTTAGTTCCAATATCGTAGACCAGAGCATGTCGTCCCTAATGAGGAATAGAACAAATCAGGCTAAAAACCAGTATGAACTATACTTTATACAAAATGCTATGCCAAACAAACCTCAACTGGATTGTAATCAGTTATAACAGCTTCATAGAAATTGTTATCATCTGGCCATCTTGTCCTCACTTTCTTCCCAATTAATGGATCAAATGTTGCCCCTTCAGCAGGTTCACTCACAAGGGCTACACTAGAAGATACTCTATTAACAGCTTGACCCCTGCCAGCTAGACCTGTGGAGGGGTACTGAGTGGACTTCACAGAAGGCACACCAGGCAAACCCTGTCCAATTGAATAGAAAAAGAAGTGGACTAAAAAGAGTTATTATTGTTTCAAAGACTTCAAAATTATAATTAAAATATTCATAATTCTAACTCACCGGTTTATGTTTCTTGCCCTTGGAGCTAGTTATGGGTCCTCCTTTAGTGGCTGATGAAGATGGTTGGTGAGAGGGAGCAACAGCTTGCAGGTGAAATGGTGGAGATGGCCCACCAATGGATTGTGAAGGTACCAACTGCGTTATCTTCTGTTTCTTGTGTGATGCTGACACAGTGGGACTGGGCACAGGATCATGAACAGTATTAAGCATGCCGGATTGCAGCACTCCTACTTGTCTCCACTCCCTAATGGCATTCACAGGAACATAATCATTGAAGGAAAAAACAAAACTGAAGCTTTGTAACAGATTCCATCTCTTAAATAAACAACATCTGTCTCAACGAATGCAGACCTTATCCTTCGTATGATGTCGTCGGCATTAACCCGGCCTAATAGCTCTCTGTGCTCCTCGTTTGATAGTCTCAATTCTTTCCGAAGTTCTGTTATCAAACTCTCCTTCTCCTGAAGAAAATACATTGAGATACCAAACATTTAAACCTAATCAAATAAATTTACTGATATTAGATTCATGAAAACAATTATAAAAAAGTACCCAAGTAATGGCATCAGCTTGAGCTTTAAAGGCTCTTAGAACTGAACTGTATGCTTCTTGCTCAAGCTGGTGAATTTGAGCCTCCATATCAGTTTCACCATAAATCCTAGGGTATGGCACTGAAGATACAGCAGATCTTCCATTCCCAGCAATACGTCCTGCTCTAGGTATTCTATTCTGATGTGATGGTGGTAGATCATCATCAGTTCCTACAATTATTTCAAAATAAAATGGTGTGAGCGAATCGCAGCTTGAGCAGAGTTCATGAAAAGAAATTTGTCTTCATGGATCAAGAGTGTTATGCTAAACAATTTTAATTTCATTAAAGTTGCACATAAGGCCATGATGCACATATCTTAAGTCACTGTTGGAACTCAGAAGTCCAAAAAATAGAAGTCCCATCTGTAACAAATAGGAGAACTCACTGCTCTAAAAAGGGAGAAAAGAATGTTCCTAGAACACTTCAGGACAAAGCTTAACACCATTAACATTTTAACATCAGGTTCCTACCATTGCGAAAAAAGTTTTCAGCATAATCATTTGATTCATTCACAGTAGCAACAGTTGATAAGAAATACAAGGGGCTAAATCTATAAGCCTGAAGTGTTGAATTGGTGGTTTGATTTTGATGTCAGCACTACTGTTCAGTAGGCACTGTCATAGCAGCTTGGAAATTTATTTATTCATTTTTCAATATGTCAGCATGGCCCAAACTCAATTCCTAGGGTTTCTTTGAGTCTTTAATAGAAGCTTTGGTAGCCTTTATTTCATTTGATTGGCTTATCCATTTATTTTTTAGGGTCAATCTTGTGTGTTATAAAGTTTGAGCCTTGGAGGACCTGTATAAGCTTTGTTTTGGTTCTCCAGAACTAAAGAAGTAATATCACAAGATTGTTGTTCTAAAATCAAAACTAAAGAAACGAGAGTTTCTTCTCTTTGGAGTGACTATTCCCCCTCATTAATTCTGACCCCAGTTCAAATACGATAACTTCCCTTGTCATCCCTCACCAATTCATTATATTAAAAAGTGCATGTGTAGCAAGTTCTGTAAGTGGGAAAAATCGAGAATAAATTGTGTTAATAATTTGTGGGTTAATATGCAAAGACGAAGAGGTGATATGTCAGGCAATATATGAAACCTAGAAGCAGCATTACAATCTGGCAGCTCATAGAAAGAGATAACAATCATATACAAGGGATAAAGTGATAAACAAGAGGCACTCATTGCAAAGGCATATAAGTTAAAGAAATTACCAATAAGTCGTTAACAAAGGAAAATAGTAGAATGCAAAAAAAAAAAAAAAGGTTCACTAAGAAACCTGCTTAGCAAACAAATATATTGTCGCTGAACCTAATTGTAAGATGCCTGATAAGTGAAAATGACGGGCTTCATGAGGGATTTATGAGGGATTTCTCATTCCCCGGATAGCCTTCAAATTTTAACCTTTGACTTACAGTTTAATCAACTTCACTAGTGCCATATTCATACTTTCCGCAATACATCATTACAAGAAAAAGCAGTTTGATGCTCTGAGCTAGTTATTTGCACCAAAGTTTTTTTTATTGGAAAATTAAAAAAATTGTAACTGAAGAACAAGTTAAAGCAATTAAAAAAAGCAGCAGACAATAGCAAGTCGAAACACAAATTCTATCTGAAAACTTTAATTGCATCAGTTCGGAGAAAGGTAGGGATAGAGTACATGATCAGCATAAATTTCCTCTTTAAAAAATTAAAAAAAAAAAAAAAGAAAGCAAAAGAAGTGATACTAGTAATGAAACCCTAATCAGCAAAAAGGAAAGAAGAGATAAGAGAGGAAACTGACCGCTGCTATCATAGGGCTCGTAGTCCATAGCCAGCGTTAGGTTGGAGAAGAAGAAAGTCAAAACCCTAAAAATGGGAGCGGAGAAACAGAGAAATCTGAGGAATTAGGGTTTTGTTCTGTGCAAAGCCAAAACCCAAATCTAAGTTTTGATTTCTGCAAAATACTTATCAAACTTACTACTACTAACGCTCTCAAGTTCCAACTTTCAACTCTGGACAATGAATTCAATGCTTCTCTTTTATGAAGTTTCAGCAACAATTTCAAGGTTTTCCAGCTCAACTCTTTATTCTAGTACAATTTAGAACTACTATTATCACAACATATAATCAATCATCTTTCTTCATTTTTTTTTTCTTTTTCTCTCTCTTTTTCAGGTAGAATAAAAACTCTTCTCCTCAATGAAACACCGTATCTCTATGTACACAAACATACTAGTACTGGTATTTTTTTTTTTTGGGCTTGGATCTGGATTTGAAATCCAACAATTTTGTTTTTTATTCCTCCTTGCCCATCTTTCTTTCCACAAGCCCAATAACATGACTGCTAATTAGTGTAGCCCATGACAATTCAATTTCCGGAAATGATAAAAAATATATTTTTATCAGCAATCCAAATTAGGATTATAAATAAAAACGAATGAATACATATATATATATATATATGTATATATGTGATTTGTTTGTTTATTTTTAAGGATATTCGGGTACGATAAAAAAATTGTTATGTTTATTTGAGTTATATTCGTTTAAATGATAAGATATTCGGGTTTGATTCATACTCAATTCGATTAAGTTAAATAAGTTCATTCATGAACATATATTCATGAACATTAAACGAAAATATTCATGAATATATATAAATGAATATGTTCATGAATAATAAATAAATTATAATCAAATAAATTTAAATAAATAAACCTTAAATGAACATATACAAATCCAAAAGAAAACAAACCAATTTTAAAATAAAATTAAGATAAAAGATAAAAATGTAATTTTATTGTTATTATTATAAACCCTAAAAACAAATGAAAAATAAATGAACTAATTTTAAATGAATTTTAATCAAATTTATTCAAGAATATAAATAAACTAAAAAATTCTATTCGATTCATTTAATAAACGAATATAAATATATTGTTTAAAATCATTTATTAATCTTAATAAACAAATAAAAATCAAATATATTTATTAACGATTCATCAAAAATTTTATTAGTTTACACCTTAATCCAAATGAAGCATTAAAAAAAAAAGGTGAAAGAGCTATGCCACTTCATCTGTCAACACTGGGCCATCGACTAGGCTGAGCAACTTGCCATGAAGTCCCCAGTCCTTTTATAGTTTGTACAACGTCTTCACCTTTTTTTGAATTGGAATCTAGACCGATGCTCCATTTATCGATAGCCAGCAGAAAGCCTAATAATGTTCCTCATGTCTAAACTCGTAAATAGAACCAGCTGCACAAGTGGTCAGTTTACAATTTGGTTTAAGATTGTAATTTTTTATTTGAAGCCAACTGGGAGGCTATGCTGCACAGAATAAATTTGGTTTGAAAATGATTAAGTAGCATCGGGGATGTATAACGTACTAGTCTTGAAAGATCTAGATTCTTATCATAAAACGAGAAAATTCTGCTATCATGTGTGTCAGACCCTTCCGCATCATTTAAGATTTTTTCGGCAACACAGTCAGTTCCAGAGGGCCTTTCATTCTTCGATTAATATATGTCACGAAGCAGTTGCGCTGAACGATGACCATTGACGAGTATTAAATAAATTATTGAAATCAAAATTTCCATTCATGGAATGGAGTAGAAAATAAATAAATGAACTAAGTGTTGTTAGTTACTTCAACTAATTTTTCATACCTGCAGAGTAACGTCATTGATTAACCACTTCTAGCTTAATTTGATGATCCAAACTGACCCTACCCGCTGGACCAAACATCTAACTTTCAAGGATAAAGGCAGAGAAGCGGGATAGAGAGCGAGAAAGGGGTGGTTTGAGTGAAATAAAAATCCAAATTAAGAGGACATAAATGCACGTGGGAGGAGAGACAAGGCTGACACGAAAGAAACATGGGCTGTTCTTAAGTTTGTTTCCTATATTAAAATCCATCTCCTCTTTCTTTTCTCTTTTTTTTTGGGTTTCATCCTTGTAGTTGTAGTCTTATCCATTTATCTTATCCGTCCCTATAATAAACACAATGTGTCTCTGCCTCATGTGCGCTATTAATTAAGGACCCCTTCTGTCTGAATTATTTATGCAAGAATGCCCTCTCTAAGTTTCTGTTGCCCTTGCCCTACAACAAAGAGGGATACACCGGACTTCGTTGGCAAATTAAAGGGATGATAGCATATGTAGTTATTTTTTTCTAACAAGTGATGCCTTGTTTATGCATTTATGAATTGTTACTATTATGTTTATCCCATGATTGGCATTAATCAAGGACAAGCTCTCGTGATCTCCTATATATCCATGTAGGAATTTTGTAGGTGAATTGCATGGATTTCCGTGTGTGTGACTATATATATATATATATACATACTTGCAAGTTTCTCAAGTTTCTCATTTATGTTTGTTTATCTGCAATTCCGAATTTTCAGTAACAATTCCATTACTTCATCCTTCACAAGATCGCACTTTCAATTACATTAATAAACTTAAGGGAAAAGGAAAACAAATATTGGCCCTGCATTTTTACGAGTTTAGTGACAGAACCTAACATAATGTATAATATTAGTTTTCACTTCTTATAACATAGGGGTTGCTCCCAAAGAGCACTGTGATATACATATATTAGTTTTTTGTAATTTTTCTGTAAAATTTTATTTTAATAAATAATTTTTTATACAATAATAATAATGATAAATACTAATAATTTAATTTTGATTTTAATATAATATAAGTAAAATTTGATAACTTTTTATATAATTTGGATTTTGATAACTTTTGATAAAATTTTGATAACTTTCAATACATTTTTATAACTTATGATATAATTTTGGTAAATATTGATACAATTTTGATAATTTTTTATAAAATTTTAGTAACATCATGATGTAATTTTAGTAATCTTTTGATAATTTATAATATTTTTTGTAATTATTAATAAAGTTTATGTCATCATATATTTAACAATAGATTTATGTAGAAAAGCACGAGTTCAATTCTGATATAAAATAATTTTTTTTTATACAATAATGTTATTGTTTTATTCAAATTTAGAATTTTTTCACTAAATTTTTTTATTAAATAGGTTTATAGTAGGTTTATCTTAGTCTCCCAAAATAAATTTTTTAACTCAATTTCTACTAATAACCAAAATTCAATTCCTAACAACTTTAACTATAAAAAAATTATTAATAATTGACAATTAAATTACATTTATTTACTATTATGTTATCAGTGATTTACTACTAAACTATCACTGATATACTTCTAAATTATTAATGATTTACTACTAAATTAATATTTGTTTACTACTATGTTATGACTAATTTACTACTAAATTGTTGATGATTTATTATTAAGTTATATACATTTTTTAATAAAGTTATAATTAATTTACTATTAATTTATCGATGATTTACTATAAAATTATTAATGATTAACTAAATTGCTATTAATTATCACTTATTTATAGCTAAATTATTAGTGATTTACTGCTAAGTTATTAATAATTTACATCTAAATTATCAATTAATTTATTATTATGTTATTATGCATTTTCTACTATATTATTGTTGATTTACTACATACTTTTCAATTATTTACTACAAAATCATCACTGATTATTACAAAATTAACCATAATTTATTATCAAGTTATCATTGATTTATATTAAATTATCCACAATTTACTGTCAAGTTATCATTAATTAAATATTAAGTTGTTGATAATTAACTACTATTAAATTATATTGATTTACTTTTAAGTTTTCAACAATTAACTACTAAATTATCATTTATTTACTATTAAGTTATTTATGATTCACTATAATTAATTACTATTAAACTAAAACTAATTTACTATTAAATTATCATTGATTTTTTATTAAGTTATCAGTTATCAACTACTAAGTTATCACTTATTTTTTATTAATCTATCATTGATTTACTATTATATTGTTATATATTTACAACTATGAAATATGAAATTTAAAAGTCCACTAATACTATATGAAATAATTTTCTTTTTATACAATAACATTATTATTTTATTCAAATTTATAATTTTTCACTAATTTTTTATTGATATGTTCATGGTGAGTTTATCGTAATCCCTAAAATGAAAGTTTTTTTTACTTCATTTTTACTAGTACCTAGGGTTCAATCCCAGACAACTTTAAATTTAATAAAAGTTATCAATGATTATCAATTAAACTATTAATTGTTTACTATTAAGCTATCAATGATATACTACAAACTTATGAATGATTTGCTACTAATTTATGAAGGATTTGCTGTTTAGTTATGAATGATTACCAATCATTGTTGGTGATTTACCATTAAGTTATTGATATTAACTAATTTATTACTAAATTATCATTAATTTACAATTAAATTATTAGTAATTTAGTATTACGTTATTAGTGATTTACCACTAAGTTATTCATTTATTACTAAATTATCAATGATTTACTATTGTATTTTTATATATTTATTATTATGTTATCATTAATTTACTATTTAATTTTTAATTATTTATCACAAAATTATTATTGATTTATGACTAAATTATCTATGATTCACTACCAAGTTATTACTGTTTTATATTAAATTATGCATGTTTTACTATTAAGTTATCATTGATTAACTATTATATCATCGATGATTTATTACTAAATTATACTGATTTGCTTTTAAGTTTTCAATGAATAACTAACTAGTATCAATTAATTACTATTAAATTAAAACTGATTTCCTATTAAATTATGACTAATTTACTATTAAGTTATCGTTGATTTATTACTAAGCTATCAATAGTTAACTATTAAGTTATCATTTATTTTTTGTTAAGTTATTCTTGATTTAATATTATATTGTTATGCATTTATAATTATAGTATGATTGATTTACCATTAAAGTATTATGCATTTATTATTGTATAATTGCTTATTTACTAAAAAGTTATCAACTATTAACTACTAAACTATCATTCATTTACTATTAAGTTATTATTAATTTACTACTAAGTCATCAATAATTACTACTAATTTATACTTATTACATTTAAGTTTTCAATTATTAATTACTAAGGTATTAATTATTCACTACTATGTTATCACTTATTTATATATATCCAAACAGAAAATAATCATAATGTATGTTAAATGATGTAATCCATAAGGTAAAGAAAGAAAGAAGAAAAAGTTCGAGAGTAAATGACTTGAAAAA